GAAAACACCCTCAGAGGGCAATGGTCACATTGCAATCCCTTCTTTTCCATTTCTCCCTCCTGTAGGCATTTTGGGCATATATACATAAGTGCCCAGAGAGACAGAGAGACAGAAAGCGAGAAATCACCCCCAAGGGGAGATGACCATGCTGCAATCCTTCTCCTCCATTCTCTTCTCAGTATCTTGGCTATGCATGCACATGCGCATGGCATGAGTTGAAGCCACTGGGTCCGGGACGCAAACTGCAGTCAGCTATATGGGAGTTCAGTGACATAGCCATTACGCTAACTGCTGGTCCCCGTGCCCAGTGTTTTTCAAACCACCATGTCTGGGATTCAAACTGTGTAGTTAGCCATGCCTTAACCACCATGCCACCACCTGGTCCCTTGCATACTTTTAGTAAGCATGGGCTGAGTGCTTGTCATTAGACCATCACTGTGCTTGGTGCCCAGGTCACAGAAATGAATAACTTGGTGCCTACCCTCAGGGGTTTGCATACTAACAGAAGGGTTGACAAAAAGGCAGTTCCAGTATGGTGTGGAGGATGATTACCAGATAAAGCTTATTAAGACAGAGGGAAGAGCTAAAAAGCATTTGAAGTATTCCAGGTGAGAAGTTTGAAACCCTAAACTAAAATAGCGGCAGAGGAAATGAAGCCATGTCTCGGACTTGAAAGACCGAGGAAGAATTCCCAAGGCAGGATGACCAACGGGATGTGAGGGAGGAGGGAGGAGCGAGAGTCCAAAAGGTCGCTCAGATTTCTGGCTGGTGTGAAGAAAGTTGGAGGCGCCGGTCTCTCCGGAGGGCACCACCTTAGAATAGCTGACATTTTAAATGAAGACTTGGGAATCACCGACAAAAGGTCAGAGAAGTGCAAAATCCATTTAGTAGTGACTCTCTGTGCTGGAGAAGAAAAGGCCTCATTCTAGATGACTCGTGTGGTAAGAAAGCCCGGAAAGTTCCCTGAGGGCAGAGCACACACTGTTTATCCTTATGGCCACACATGGTAGGTGCTTAATAATAATGTATTTGATTCATAGAAGCCAGTTAAAATCACCTTGACCTTTTCTACTCGTCCCCCAATATGGAGTAAGGTAAGACTGGAGATATTTATAGATATCTTTTGTCCTTGAGCAGATAGCTATTGGCTTTAGACATATTTCTCTTTCTTTTTTTTATTTAGAGATTTTTACTATAGGGTATGTGTGCTCACCAGAGAGACAGAAAGATAGGAAGTGAGAAATCACTCCCCAGGGGGCTGGCCACACCGCGATTGCTTCTCTGCCATTCTCCTCTTGGGATGTTGGGTATGTACACACATGTGCCCAGGATGTTTCAAGCTGCTGGATCCAGGACTTGAACCGCAACCAACCATGTGGGAGTCCAGTGCCTTAACCACTACACCACCTACTGGCCCCCATATTTCTTTTTCAAACAGAATTTCTTAAGAGAATTGAAAAGTCTCCATTGTCTTAGTGGATTAGATCTTCTGAAGACACAAACACTTTCCATGTCTTTAGGTTTGTAGCTGGTTTCACGGTGTAGGTACCATTAGCTCCCTGACTGGTTGTGGTGTGTGGCAGGTTGTAAGTCCCAGCACTTCCGGCTCAAAGAGCAGCCCTATGCCCAGAGGCCCTGCCCTCTGTGTGCTTACAGATCCAGGAAAGACTGCCATGCCCTGAATGAAAAGAGGCCTCTTTTGGACTACCTCAGGGAATGAAGTATTCCCTGAAAACTTCCTGTCCCCTAGAAGATTCCTCAGGGGCTTTTACTCAGAAATGGAAACTGTTATACAATTAATAAGTCAAGATGCACTTAAAAGAAATCTCAGAATTAGGTCAGTGTTGGACAAAAGGAAAAAATTCTAGATGCACTATGAAACTTCTTGGACAAGAACTATTTCCCTGAATTTAATTGCTGGTCTCTACTGGACAATGTTATTATACATATATATATTTTTTTTCATTTAAACATTTCATTTTCAAAGCTAAGCCTGAGAAATAGAAGCACTTTATTCTTTATCAAATAGTTGTGAGTCATGGTCGATATGTCTGAAAAATAATCAGCTTTAAAATCCGAATTGGTTGAGAAGCAAGCACAAAAATAAAATAAAACAAGAGTCAAATTGCACACGGAGACCCAGCTATGGTGGTGTACAGATAGCGTGTGGCCCGGGAGGCTGGAAACTGCACGGGAGGACTGGGCTGGGTTCTGGGCCAACCTGAACATGTTGGTACCATCACACGCACCTGTAATCCTCAGTAATCATGATGCTGGGCCAGGAGGATTGTGATGCAGTGAGACCTTGTCAGGAATACCTATTTCTGTTTCTTCCTACCTCCCAACAAAAGAAAAAATAATTGCACAAGAGAAACCGGCTTTATTATGTCGGCTGAGAAATGTGTGAGTTGGAATAGCAGATTTTGCCATTACAAAGCTTCTGATGAGAAGAGCACCATGTGGTGGGGTATGGGTGGTTGGACTAAAACCACACCTGGTAGGGCATGTTCTTGGTTGGAGTTTACATTCTCTGGCTAGAGGAGCCAAGATTGTGCGTGTGTGTACGCATTTTGTTTTTCCTTTCAAATCCTCTTGAAGCAGCCGTGATTTTCTGCAAACCTAAACCAGAGGTGAGAGTCCACGTGATTTTCTGCAAACCTAAACCAGAGGTGAGAGTCCACATATCTCTGTGGGGTGATCACTCAGGAAGCATTTAGCTGGGAGCGGGCGCCAAGGCTTCTGGGGGTGGAATACAGGAAGGGCCACGTGGGAGGGGGACATGGAAAGACGGGGCTCTCAACACCTCTCCCTGGCCTTGCTGCTGCTCAGGGTAACCCCAAGCCAACCCTGGAAACAGGGAGGCCTGAGAAAAGCAGGCAAAGGAGGTGTGGGCACTGCAGGGTCAGACCCGCAGCACCAGGCCCAGTGACTAACCCTCTCCACTTCTGAATTCCAGGGGGGGAGCACGGATGATGTCACCTCCCTGTTCGGAGCGGATCCATGCCCTCAGCAGAGGGTAATGAACGAATGACAGACTCTCCTCTGGGAAAACTGCGGGATCAGATCAAGCCATTTTTGGATATAAACGTCTATGGCTTTGCCTGCCGCAGCTCGAGGAAGACATAATTGTCGAGTGCTGCCTCCCGTCGCTATTTTCCGCTGCGTTTAACCGCCCACCTCTCTCGAAGGGGATCCGCAGATGAGCCCGGTGAACGCAGCAGAGGGGGCTGGCAGAGGGCGGTTCTTGGCCACGATCAGTGGCGTCTCTAACTCTGGGCTTCCTCAGGGTCTGAGTCCAGTAGGAGAGCGAGCTCCAGTGGGCAGCAGAGAGTCCATTTGCCACAATGTAGCTGCCAAGTGAGGGCCATGAAAACTTCTTTGCCATAGACGTGTTGGGTTCAGATAAACTCTGGGGTTTTTCGGAGATTTTGTTGGGAGTGCCCTAAATTAATTCTGAGGCACTGATTTTCGGCTTTCCCTGGAAATTCAGAGAGGATCCAGAGATAGTTGTTTACTAACTGGTCCCATCAGATATGCAGGAACTTTACAAAATCCTCCCAAACTTTGAAACGTGAATAATTTTTTTATCATACCGATCACCTGGCCTCTAATGGATGTTTAAAAGTCAGACTTGCTTATTCAATCGTGCATTTGTGTTTTGAGCTCTGTATACACCAAACATGGCTTGTATGAGTATCTGTTCTACTCCTAGCAGTATTCAGTATATATTTTTTTCTTTTCTTTTTTTTTTTTTTAAGGTTTTTGCCATAGGGCCCAAGCACTGGTTGGAGAGAGACAGAAATAAACAGATAGATAGAAAGTGAGAAATCACCCCCAAGGGAGTATGGCCCTGCTGCAGTCCCTTCTCCTCTAGTCTCCTCTCAGGATTTTGGGTATGCACACACATGCGCCCAGTATGATTTTTAAGCCATTGTGTCCGGGACACGAACCACAGTGCACTACATGGGAGTCCAGTGCTTTAACTGCCATCCCACCCCACTGCATCCCCTCATTTATTTTCAATTCACCTCATTTACAACTACTGAGCTTACCTTGGTTCTCTTTAAACATTTAAAATTAAAGTGTGAAGGTTTGGCTGACCTGGTATGCAGTGGTTAAGTGCTGTGTGTTGGCAGCCAGATTCTACAAGGCCAACTGTATTGCAAATCCCTGCCTGGTGCTTGAAAAACACACCAAGTGTGTGTGCACGTGTGCCCACAATCCTGATGGGAAGGAGAAATAGATGAAAAAGGATTGCCGTGTGACCTTGCCCTGCTGGGAGGTGCTGTCTCTCTGTCTCTCTAATGCACATGGTCTCTGGCAATTAAAAAAAAAAAGTGTACAGGTTCTCAAGGTTGCAAGAGTTCCTTTCTCTGTGATTGAGTTGAAGAGCTATCATTGTTGTTAAGCACACTAGATTCTACTGTTTCCTACTTCTGGCTGGGTGGACGTGTCTTGGGATTGCTCTACTCTCTTATTTCAAATACACGTTGAATGCTCGTGAGCTTACACTGCACCTGTCCTCTCTAGCATTGTTGGAAAGATACCATTCATTTCATTCTCACCATTCTCTCCTAATTATTTTTCCATCAGAGTTTGGGGCTTTACAATGCAGTAGCCTAGAGGTCAGCAGGTGGTATAGTGGTTAAAGCACTGGACTTCCACGTGACCAACTGCAGTTCGAGTTTGGGATCCAGCACCTCAGAATTAACTTGGGGCATTCCCAACAAAATGTCACACCGTGTGTGTGTGTGTGTGTGTGTGTGTGTGTGTGTGTGCCCCAAATCCCAAGATAAGAATGGAAGAGAAGGGATTGCGGCATGACCTTCTCCCTTGGTGTGTGGGGGCGTGATTTCTCATTTTCTCTCTCTCTATTGCTCTCTGTTTCTCTGGTGAATGCACACACTCTATAGCAAAAATCTCTCTCTCTCTCTCTCTCTCTCTCAAAAAAAAAAAAAAAAAAAGAAAGAAAAAAAAAGAAAGCAGGAGCCTAGAGGTCGCTCTGTTCCTGAATGTGGTACTAATAACAGAGTAAATGTTCTCATAATAGAATTCCTACATTTTCCTTTAAAAATACTTTTAACATGTCACAAGTAATACATATCCATGATTAAAAATGAAAACAAGTAAGCAGAAGGAAAAATTTTGCACTTGTATGTACATGTTTATAAATGTGCATTTAGAAAAATGTACATATTTATAAAAATGTGATATGCTTCACTGGGTTTTATAGTTTTCTGCTTAATAGAGCATAAACATTTTCCTTATTTTAATGGCTACTTAATTTTGCCTGTTGTAGATGTATTAAGATGATTCTTTTATTTTTGGTGATGCAAATTATTTAAAATATTTGCTACTTATTTTTCTTTTTATTATTTCTTTTTTTTTTTTCATTATTTCTTTTTTTTTTTTCATAGTGAATATATGCTCACCAGAGACAGAGAAAGGGAACGTGAGAAATCACTCCCTAGAAAGAATGACCACACCACAATCCCTCCTCTATTATCCTCTCAGGATTTTGGGCACACACACACACACGCCCTGCATGATTTTTAAGCCGCTGGGTCTGAGACTTGAACTGCAGTGGGCCATGTGAGAATCCAGCACCTTAACCACTTTACTGGCTCCTTTTTTCTTCTTCCCAATTGTCAACATATGCACTTGCCAGAGAAAGAGCAAGAAATAGAGAGAGAGAAAGCACTCCCCAGTGGGTGTGGTCATGTTGTAATCCTTTTCCCTCCATTTTTCTACCCCACCAGGATTTTGAGTATACACGCACATGTGTTTTTCAAGCACTGGGCAGGATTTGAACCTCAGCCATATGGGATATGGCTCCCTACACACAGGGCTTAGCCAGTGCAGTACGGGTCAGCCCTTTTCTTTTTATTCTCAGTAGAGTGTGTGTACTTGCACACAAGAGTGACTGAGAGAGACAGAGACAGAGACAGAGACACTGGCAATTTCCAAGGGGCTGGTCATGCTCTGATCCCCCTTCTCCAGTCCTTAGCCTGTTGGGTTTTGGTTACTGGCGCACCTGCAGGGCAGGTTTCAGCTTGATCTGGCCAAACCATGGTTGCCATGTGAGATTCAGCTTCCTTTGAGCAGTGAGTCCCTGCTATGCCTTGGAGCCTTCCATTAAAATCTTTGCTATTGTAAATATAGTGATGAATATCTTGGAGTTATCATCTTGTGCATTTGCCAATTATTTTTGTAAGATAAATGTTCTGGAATCCAATTTCTTTTTGACAATAGCTTTGCTCCTGGACTCACCTGCCCTCCTTCAGTGATAGCTGATTTTGCTGATGCAGAAGATTGGCATGAGATCCTCTCTGTTGGATCCTTCCTAGTAGTTCCTAAAACCTGACTCTCCACTTTAGTTGGCACATTCCCAAAGATTTCTCACTTTGAGTTTTCCACTCTTTTGCTAGAGGCTATGTGGGGTTTGGCCAAAGTTACTTTATAATTCCCCTGTTTCCTCCTATCTCTCAGTGTCCTCTGCCCTCTCTTTAAATGCCTGCATTGTCACCAATCTGTCCTTGGCTTCTCTTCTTTGTAGCCTGTACCGTCCTTTAGCTAGTTTGTCCTTTGATTTTAACATATTAGAATGATTTATTCTTTTCTTTCTTCCCTTTTTTTAAAAAATTATTTTTTTAAGTTTTCCTATAGGGTTAGTGCTTTTATGAGAGAGAAAGTGAGCAAGTGAGAAATCCCCCCTCTCCACTGAGGGTGGATCACCATACCACGGTCCCTGCTCCTCTATTGTCTTCCTGGGATTTGGGGCATGCACACACATGTGTCTGGTGTGTTTCCCAAAACTATGTAGTCAGCCAGGTGGGATCCAGCCACCTTAACCACCACACTACTAGCTGGCCCAGAACAATTTATTTTTGAGCTAACTCCTTTTCTTCAAATTTTTGACAGATATCCTCATATATTCCCTGACATCTCCTTATGATGATAATGCAGGTATCTCAAAGTTAATATTTATCAGACTCAAATAATGCTTTATTCCAAATGCCTGACAAAACAAAAACAAATACAAAACACACACACACGCACAAATCCCCCCTTATGGGACCAGCAGTTAGCGTAATGGCTACGTGGCTGGATTCCCACGTAGTCAACCGTGGTTTGCGTCCCCACCCGGTGGCTTAAAACTCATGCCAGGCGCGTGTGCATGCACGCCCAAGATCCTGAGAGGAGAATGGAGGAGAAGGGATTGCAGCGTGACCATCCCCCTTGGGGGGTGATTTCTCGCTTTCTGTCTCTCTGTTTCTCTCTGTCTGTATGGCAAGCACACATGCCCTGGTCACAAAAACCTCTGGAAAAAAAAATTCCCCCTACTCAAACAACTCACTTTTCTCCTGTTATGTCCTCTTTTATACAGTTGAAGGTACCTATTGATCCAGATTTCAGTCGAATGGACATTTATCAAATTATATCAGTCTCCTACTTAAAATTCTTAGTGACTTCCCATTGGCATTTAAGTGTAACCCAGACTCCTTACAGGAGCTGCAAGGCTCCAATGATCTGGCCTCTGTCTGCCCAGCTGCCATCTTTCTGACCTTCCCTTCGAAGTACAAGCGCATGTACATCTCAGAGACTGAGCACCGGCCCTCCTCTTGGCCAGGAACACCTTTCTGCATTGTGCTTCCAGTGTTGTAACTAAAGACTCATTGCAGCCGCAAGATCACCTAGATTTCCTACTCTGTGTTTTCTTTTAGTTTTACAGTTTTGCATTTTACATGTAGGTTTGTGATCTGAGTTAATTTTTGTGAAATGTGAGAGGTCTCCGTCTAGATTCTTTTTTGCTTTGGGGACAGGGATGGACAATGGATGTCCAGTTGTTTCAGCATCACTTGTAGAATGTACTATCCTTTCTCGGTCTTTTTCAGAGTTCAGTTAACTATTGGGTTGTCAGAAAAGTCATGACATATTTTTGCTATGCAAAAATGCATAGTAAATTCAATATATTTTTGTGGGTCTATTAATGGGCACCAATTCATAAAATTTTTAAGATTCTTTTATTCATGTAGTCCATTAGCAAATATTTAATTCAGCAACTATTATGTATGTATTGTTTTAGGTACTGGGAATCTTTTGGTGAAAAAAAAAGATTAAAAAGATGAAAATTCCTGCCTTCATGGAGTTTACGTTCTGCAAATCAAATGATATATTACATAGGTGTATTTTGAGAGCTATT